TTGAGACCTGAAATGGAGCATTTTTTTATTATTATTACAAGGTAACATTCAATGTTTTCCAGTTAAGGGAAAACACATTATAAATCCACATTCCCTCATTTGTTGTTGCTTATAGCTTTAGCATGTTAGCTTAGGCCAAGATTGTGGCCTTATCAAACATTCTACACATGAAAATACAAAAAAGTAAACAAAAAATCAATCAACATGATGTTATGATGCATTCAGCTCATTTGTAAGGTGCTCTTCTCTACATTCAACTTCTTGACGGCCAATATTGAGGTTAAATTGGTAGGCTTACATCATCTACACTGCAAAGTGTCAAATATTGTCGAAGTATTCCAAATAAGAAGAAACCTGGTTCAGACCAGTCAGAAACAAGTCAGTTTAAAAAACAGTATGGCATCCATCCACACACATATCCTGTCTCTGTCTGCCCACAGCTCAACCCCTTCTAGAGCAGGACGAGGTGAAGTGAGTGTTATGTCTGACAGCGATCCTCTGCATGAAATGAATTTTTGTTTTGTCCTCCTGAAAAATGTGAAAGGATCCTACATAATTCAGCTCTTTGTTCCAACGGTGACCTGGAGAAGGTCAAGTCGGTTTTTTTCTCCATTTACAAGAAGACTTCAAAGCGCTTGTGTGTGTGTTTGATAGAGAATACATAAAGCTGTGGGTTGCACTGGATGAAAGTGATCATCATTCATGTGAGAGCAACACAAAGAGACAGACAAAAAGAGAGTGAGCGGGAAAGGAGGAAGTATGTTTCTGTATCAGAGACACTGAGAGAGATTATTTATGTGATAGCCTTTGCTGGTCCAAGCTGGTTTGGTGTTGGTGCAGCCATGTTATTTGCCAGCAAAAAATTCTTTCTGAATTATCTTTCTGACATGACCATTGATTTCAACCGAATGAGGGCCGAGGCACCAGGGCCCTCGAAACCCTAGCGATGGTCCTGCTTTCTGATGAAACTGCTTGACCACATGAGACTCGCATCCCACATCATCAAAAACAATGGAGGTGAGAGACTGTTTTCGACACTCCTCAGATATAAACATATAGGCCCTACTTGTTATGGCACCCCTTCATGAGTTTTTTTCACTGCTGTGTTATCCAAACACATCTTGTTATTCTCCTTTGAAAAATGACCAAGTCATTCAGACTGAAACCCCTTTCCTCGGTAAGAGTTTTCTCTGCCAAAAAAACAAGTAGCATGCATGAACGTGGCCCATCCTGTCCAATCCTGTGCCACATTTTACATCTGGGTCACATCAGAGTAACCAGACATGCCCCTGGAAGACAGCCGACTGGCACTTTGTCCAGATCCAAAAGCAGTCCTTTGTGAGTATGGCCCAACTCTTTAACATCCCCCATCTATGTACAAACATAGAGCAAATGTTCTTGTTTGGGTTTAAATTTCATGACATAGGGGTTGTTTGTTACTCTCAGAGTACAATGCAGATGAAACACTGAACTAAAATACTCTAACAGACTTTCCTTCACTTATTCAATGGCACCGCAACACTGGGATTCCAGAATGAATGACTCTAATGAGTCAGTTCTTTTTACTGAATCAAATACACACAATTAATCACTGTAGTTACTGACTTTGGAGGTTTCACCATGACAACTTATTGGTCTTTTAAAAATATATGTCTTTACTTAGTGATCAACTTTAGCACTCTAATGGAAATATTGTTAATTATCATTTAAAGAGGTGGTATGCCATACGGAACCGTTGCCACTGAAACTGCTTTAACGCAGTGGGGCTCGACAGCCTTAGTCAAACGGGTTGGCGCGTATGGTTGGGTTGAGGAGAGATTGTGGTTAGGTCTCAGCAGCAGGAGGGATGTAGAGGTCCGTAAGCTGGGCTGAGTTAAGTGGGGGACGGAGGGGGGTGACTCTGGGACACCAGAATCACAATCGAGCCCTCTCGAGGTGTCGTGAGCTAGTCGACGAAACACTGAGGACGGAAGGTGCCTACTTGAAGGCCCTAGAGATGTCCCCTACTCAGCTCAATCCAGACGGTTGTCGTGCTGGTCCACTGGGGAGACCACACAGTAGTTGCAGCCGTCGTGTGTGCTGACACGCCAAGTACACTGCAGCTGTTAATGCCGGACAGAAGGGGAGTCACTCCACCATATGGAAAGAAGCGTAAATGGATGAAGCATAGTTTACTGTAAAGCTACGTCTTAGTTTTATCTGGTGAAAGCCTAGTACAAGTCAGCATGAAGTTTTAACATCTACTCCCGTGTAATGGAAATCTTAAATGTGACTCATTTTCAAATTGTTTGTCATAAATCAACATCTCAAAAAAAATGTTTTGGGGTTTCTAATCAAAATATGACTTTCTGTTACAGAACAGTCATTGATTTCATACATGTAGAGGACACCAGGACTTGATGTTTATCAGGCCTTTTGGGAGACACAAGTGAATAGGGAAAGAATGGTAGTTATATCAATTTGTTCTGTTCATCTTTCATAGTTGAGAATCAAATATATACAAGTATGTATTCAACTATACAAAGTTGAAAATCAATCAACTTTATGAAAGTTGATAGTTCATAGTTAAGAATCAACCTTATTCTTTCTCGTATATTTCTTTACACAAGAAAGAACAGAGGCTCTGTTCTTTCTTTCGAAATATTGTATGTTCAGATATACAACAAAATTGTTGTTGTTGGGGGCCATGAAACTTTTGTAACGATGATTGAAAACGTTGGCGCTGGCTGGCAAAGTTTTTCTAAAACGGATTAACGTTAAAGTGTTACAATTATTCCTCACAAGTACTAAAAGAATGAATAAAGCAAAGAAGCAGAATCCTGGTTCCTCCGGGTAGCGAAGTGCTGAATTGGCAAAATAATGAATATGAGCTGCATTCACAATGTTTAGAAGAACAAAAGCCACAACGGTTTATAATTATGGCCCAGCACTTGATTCAGGCATAGTGTTTCCAGACATCTTAGTTGTATATGTCTATGTGTCTGTCAAAAGTGATTCACAAAATAGGCCGTAGCAAGCGAAAACCTGCCAATCACAGAACTAGGCCTCAATGGCAGGAAACACTCATATCTTTCCTTGAATTAAAGACTCCTTCCCCTTGCCACAGTTGTGTTTCTGTGCAGAGGCAAGCGTTTCTGTGCTGTGCTCATGTATTCCAACGCTATCTCACAACCAATTCATTGATTAAAAGGGGGCTAATTCATACAAATTCATTCCTGACCACACTAGTACGAATTCGTACGATTTGTCTAAACCCACATTAGGAAAGTAATTGTTCTCTCCCTTTTCAAAAATCATGTAACATACCCATTACCATATAATTCAGTTTCCTCTTCCTCCTGTCTGTTCCTTTCACAATGAAATTCATAATGCATAGAGACTGTAACTAAGGACCCAGTTTGTGTAATGATGAAATGAAACCATTAATCACTTCTGTGCCCATACATTTTACTTTGCCCTGAACGTTAGATAACCAAACTACTTTTTCAAGTTTTATTGTTTCAAACTACTGTTTTTAGATTCTGTCTTAAACTTAACTTACGTCAACACAGAATGAATCATATTAAAGCAGTATGTTGCATTTATAATCAGATTTATTGAGCATTAATGATGTTATGCCTTCTTATTTCCTATTGCTGAGTGTTTCTTTTATTTCAGGCACTTTTATATCCCAGGAGTTGGTTTTATTTAAACTTACAATGGATTTTGTCGTGGTTTTATCATTTAATTTCGCTACTTTACAGTTATTTACTGTTATTTTTTTTGTTTTAAAATGTGAACATCCACCGTAAATATTGATCGTAATAAAAATATATTGCACTCCATTTTAATACTTAATATGTGAAACTTTTCATCAATGTTATGCATGAATTTTGAACAATACCCGTATGAAAATCTTGTACGATTTATATAAAAAAAAGTTAAAATTGCTTAAATTATTTGTGGAGTTAATAGCTTATAAAACTTTTTTATCGTGTATTTATAATTTATCAAATGCGAGTGAAGAAATTAGCCAGGCAAAAGAGACATTTTATTCCCAAAATATAATTTCCAGAAAGAAAAAAAAAAGCTAAATACATAAATATATATTCACCAGTTGAGTATATTTCTGTGCTGCTGATTTGTAAGCAATTGCTACCTTTTTTAATTCTTTTTTTTTTTTATTGTCTTAGCTGATTTTCATGCTTGTTTCTTCATATTTGAACTAATTTGTAGTCATCTAGAGACCCCCTGGTTGAGAACCACTGCTATAAAACAAGAGTAGGACACTGCACTGAGGGGAAAGACCTATATGGCAATGTGTCAGAGCTCTGTGTTGTACAAGTGACAGGCACTTTCCATGTGTGGTAAAAGTAAGCGGTTGTGCTGCTCTGAGGCTCTTTGTTTGTTAGTTCAGCAAGAGTTCACAATTAATTTTAGCCCCTTATCAGGTGCTGTAATCACATAAATCCTGTTATTGTAACATCTGCATTAAAACTTACATCATTATCTATTTCAGTAGTGGCTCCTCAACTGGTGGGTCATGATCCAAAAATGATTCCAGGTCTGTTCTGATGGCCACAGACAGCAGGGGAAAACAATGCTAACAGTATCCTTTGCTGTAAATCAGCAAGATGCCAATACAAAGTGACACCTTCATTCCAAAAAAATGTAAAGTTAAAGGAAATTATGTCGCAGATTATATTACATATTTATGTCCAATGATGATAAATATGATTTGTGAAGACCACAAACTGCAGGTTTTGAATGGTTTTAAATTACTTATGCAAGCAGCATGAAATCCTAAACTCAAATGCAGAAACCAAACATATTAATATTTTTGCAAATTGTTTAGGCTATATAATTTATAATATTAATAGGTTTTAATTGAATTTTGTTACCTTGCAGCATCACTTGAATGTTAATATTTAAGTTGTTAAATTCATTTTAAATTCTGGTAAACTTCCTTTGAATTTCAACATTTAATACTGCAATGTCATAATTGTATGGAGACAAAGTGAATCATTCCGAACAAGAACTTTATTCACAGCTCCCATCTAGAAGACTAACATCAATAGCTAAACCTCCACCCTTTTAAACATTTCCTGCCTAAGCTGTGCAATTTAAAGTACTTTGTCACTGTACAAACATGTCACACTGTAAAATCAATTATTAATGTCAGACTGTACAACAGTGAAGACATAAATAGCATGCACACAAGAGTCAGTTTTTCCCATCAATCAATAATACATTATGTGAATGTAAGCTGCATTACATGCAGGACTAAATCAAATCTTGACCCTGCCAGTTTCACAGGAGGTAAAACTTGATCACAATGGTCATTAATCAAGCATGTCAAACTTACAAACTCAGATTTTTGCGAGAAGAGGAATTTATTTTAGGAGTCACACAATTTGTCTTAGATGGCTAAAATCAGTGTACCCAGTGTAAACTGCTGAAATTTGCAAAGGTTTCTAAGAAAATGGAAACCCAAATACAGCTTAATCATAGTCACTAATATTACTTTTCTCCCTGAGGGGAACATCATTCAGGACTTGATGTTAGAACAAAAACACAAAAGCTAAAGCCAGCCTCTTTATTTACAAACTATACATTTATATATAAACACATGGTTTACAATAGTAATGCCACCACTCATTTCAGGTATGCTCCAAACACAGTGATAACATTAGCTCCACTCATACTGCATCACTGAGGAACATGCCACCACAATCACTAGACACACATGCCCCAGGAGTGAAGCCATCAATGGGATCTGTTGAGAAAAAGAAAAAACCTTATTTCACTGAAATCAAAATAAATCTGATTACACTACTGAATATAACATTGAATCCTGATATACATGTTTCTTGCGACAGGATCCAGGCACAGAGATGTGACCTCTGACCTAGGTTTTAGCAAGAGTAGCTTACTATACCCCCCTATTATGGCCACTAGAGACACCGACAGCCTCCAGAGGGCAAAGCAAAGGAGGGAACATCAGTATTTCAAACTGGTTGTATAATTACTCACCTAATGACTGTGGCTCTTCTGTTTTCGGCCTTCGTGATGTATTAGCTGCAAAATAAATGCAGACAGATGAGCAGGTATCCTACCACAAAATTAAGACCACTAACTACTACAAAAATTGTTTCTCCCGACAGGATCCGAAGCAAGGAATATTAAGCCAATACTTCAGGTTTTTGAGAGAATTCCTCTACCCCTCCGTGTTGATCACTCAAGACATGCAGGACTTGAGTGTGCAATAAAAGGGGCCAAAAACTAGAAAAACAGGTAACTTATCACTTACCAAAGCATTTTTAGTGAAGGATTCTTCAGCACGAGTGTGGCCTCGGCTCAGGGCCAAACCGATATAGGGGCCTAGACATGAGGATTGAAGAAAAAAGGATCAATTATGTTCTAGAGCAGAGCTTCCCTTGATCAAGATCTTGAGTAATAAGAGAACATTTATCCCCTTTAGTTTGTCACTGAGGTGAGGACATTACCTTAAACGTTGAGAAATGCTTCCTTACCGTTATAGTGAACATCATCGAAACTTGCACGTTTCTCTTCAGTCAGGGGGTTCAGAAAGGCAAACTATAAAAGAAAGAAAACATGCTTCAGCGCGAGACAGGCCGCACATCCACCACGTGCGTCCTCCAAGTCACACGTGGCCTCCGCACATCAACTTAACACTTCCACGTTATGATCGTGATTTAATATCAAGATGTACAACATGTTTTATTGAGCCTTTCCCTTTTTTCTGCAACTTATTTCTCTTTTCTGTGCATTTCGATGCTAAATTAATCTAATTGAAACTGCTCAAGTAAACAGACTATTTGCAGCACACTTTACATGTAAATGTAAAATGAAACAGACATACATAAGAAAAGAAGTATCCTACAACAAATATCTCTGTGAATACAAACACTTACCAGCGCCCATGTTGCGTCCGTTCCTGAGTGAACTCTCTGCGAAATGAGCACATGTGACTGCTGTGTGGAATTATGGGACATTTAAAGAGACCGCCTCCATTTCATTTCATTTCAGCGATTCAGTTCGTAAAGACAAAACGATTCCGAGAAAAGCTCGGACGAATCGGTCCGATTGGTGAACAAATGGTTCAGAATGGTTTTGGGAAAAGATCCGACTCAAAAGAACTATAATTCACGAATCAAACATCTAAAGTTAATGAATGACAGTTAGCTGGGTAAATGAGACCGTTTTTAAAACAACAGGGTCATATTCACAAACAGTTAATTTGAATTGCTCAGGGTATATGAGAAACTCCCTTTTTATACATTCGCATTTAAACTATTACGCCTGATTTTTGTTTCTATCATCAGTGTATGTGATGTACAAGAGTACCCCATGTTGTCGTTTGGGAGAAATTTATAATTTAGCTTTATAGTTTCTTCATAATTCATTATAGATTTTGAATGTGTAACGTACAGTAAACTGTGAACTGTGGGACAACCCGCACTATATCTAATCCTAATTCTATTGGCCACAACGAAAGTTCGAACGAATGTTTTCGATATTCATTGGTAAATCGACCTGTCAATCAACTGAGCAGCGTTTCATGTCGTATACAACAAATGCACCAATCGCGTCTCAGTGGGCGGGGTTTGATCGCTAATCCAGGATGTGTATGTTTCGCTTAGTACGTACAACTGGCAAAGATGTTTACAATAAATATATTCTGTATTTTTATTCTTAGTTGCAGTGACTATGAAGAAAACAAATAGCCGTAGACGTGTATCTCTCGCTTTGTTTGCACTTTGCATGAGCAGCGGGAATTGAATGGTCACTGATTGCTGTCCTCGGTTGGGATTGCAGCTTGGCCTGTCAGTGTACTGCTGTTACTATCATGTTTAATTCATAAAGATGGCAACGAGGGGCACCTTATAAACTAAATGACTGTCAGAAACATCGCCTCCATTTGTAATATGGTAAGTGAGTGGATACTGCGCTGGCTAGCTCTTACGTAATGATGATGGTTGAATGGCTTTCCTCACAATCAGGTGCATGACCTCATTTATGAGCTGATGTATGCATATATCACCGCTGTTATGAACCCATCTATCGTAACTAGAAATATTTACATGCTTAAATAATGAACTGAAAGTGTAAGAAAATGCAGTCAAAATGTCTTAAGTAAAACAGCAGTATCAGTGATGCCACCTTTATATTTTGATAAGTATCTGTGTTTTTATCTGTCTGTTTTTAATAGGTAACGTTATCTATAATTTTTGTTTCCAAAAAATAAATGAGTTGCTGTGTGCTTTGCATAGACATGTACTCTCTTTGTATTGCTGTAATGCCAAAAAAATTAGGCTAAAAACGTGTTGAAAGATGATTGCGTTTTAACGAGCTGATCTTAAAAGAACAGTTCCACCAAAATGTTTGTTTTTTTGTTTTTTTGTTTTTTGTAATGTACAGGTCACTTCGTTCTATGCAGTTAGAATAAATAGATACTGCACTTTCAAAATTCAGAAAAGTTCAAATGGCACCATAAAAGTAGCCGATATTTACTTCTGAAACTATATGATATACCTTTTGTGCAGTTAACCGCTGGAACAGCATCAAGGGATTGAGAATATGACTGATACCATGGGGGAAACCTGCCATATAGATATTTTGTTATATTAACAAGACCTGACACACAGATCCATTATACTGTTACACATGCGTTTTCTTTCAACTGTTTACATTCACTTAAAACATATCCGACTGTTTATGTGAATACTCGTCAAGAACGGCATTTTGACATTATGTTTAGTGTATTATTATATTATATTTAGTGTAAATAGCTCAATTATGTACTGACTCTGAGAGAATCTATATTTTTGACAACACTACACTGTATTTAGTTTCTATTTCAAGGGCCTTTCAAGGACTACAATTGAATTGTACCAAAGTGGCTGTGTTACATGCCACTGCTGAAATCCAGATAAGAAAATTATATTAATAAGGCAGATAAATTATGGATTATTTCCTCCGGTTTTGATTGGTGCGGTCCGTGTGACTTGACACTTCAAGCTTACGACAGATTATGCTCACTTTAGAAGTTTTCTGTGAAGAAAGAATTGCAAAGAGTATAAGAATTGCAATTTACCATAGGAATGTTAAATTAGTTTTCAAAGTTAAGGATCTTTTACTGGTTCAAAAAGTAGGCTACTTACATTTAGTAGGCTAAATGATTTTGAGAAAAGAAAGATCTAGATGTGTCCTTGCAGTTTCCTTATGTTCTGCAGTTAATGCTTTAAAATAGAATAGAATGTTCATTTAATATTTGTGTTTTATTTGATCTCACTAATCATCCAATAGATCCATTTTTAAAAAGGGATTTAAGAAGGCTAATGTGAGTATATTATTTCATTGTCTGAAACTGGCCTGAACCTCTAACCACGTCAGTTGTTCATCCTTAGATAATTGCAGGTGCTGAATCAGCCAGTGCTAGATGTGGTTAGGAACCTGAAGAGTGAATTATTTCCAGCATGAGGGGGCTCAGACTTAACGTCTGACTGCTGTTTAGTGCCAGTTATGTAACTAATGGATGGACAGGGTTCATTTGTTCATCGGCATGTGTTTGGGGCCTCGTCTTGTAGTGGCTCATTGACCATGGATACAAGGCAAGCTAATGAAATGTTCTTCTTTATATCTTCCATGTTCTTTCCTGCTTAAATGACCTCAATTAGTGTGTGTTTGGTGTGCAGCACAACCACAGACATGTCCTTCAGTTTGAAAACATGAGTCCATAGAGTGGTGCAGGTATGACGTCACTTTGTAGACTAACCAGCAGTTAGCATCACGCTGGTTCCCTTGACAGAAACCCAATAGGATTTTCCCATATAGGCTTTTGGATTACCGCTAAAAACAACTCTTTGAACAATAAAGTTTATAAAACTTGCATGTTTTGTCCATCTAGAAAATCACAGATGAACACAATTTTTATGAATTTTGAAGCCTATAGGCTGCAAACAAACTACGGTCCCACGAATTCAACGTCACTAAGCTTCCGACAATTTTTTTTTTTTTCTAAAAACATTTTCCCAAAACGCCTGAGTTAGAATAGTTTATAAGATCAAAATTAACAAGGCTGTAAAGGTGAACTGAGTTTAACTGTTCGCTGTGATGACATTTACTCTCCATTTAGCCACTTGTTAGCAACCGCCTTTTTCAAAACATGTAACCGCTTAGAAAAATTGTGTGTGGTGGGGTAATATTGATGTATTTTATGTCGGTGAATAAAATATGAAAGTGTCTTGAGCTTGTGTTCACCACAGACCTCATTTCAGCCATTTAACCCAAACCCCATTCAAAAAAGAAAACAAAGTGTCTGTCATGCCTGCACCACTCTATTCATGCTTCTGGCAATAGGCTATATTGCCTTATATATTTGTGTGGGCTTGCGTTAAAGCAGAAACATAAGATGGCTTGGCCTAGCTGACAATTGTGTGTAGACAATGAGAAAATGACCCCTATTTAAAGTCAAATGTTGGCAAAAAATATCTTGCACAATGTAGTATTTATATTTCAATAGGCAATAAAGATCTATTAGTGCTGGAAATGAAGGACTTTGCGGATTCATATTTCCTACAGATAAAAGGATGCTGTCTCAGTCAGGTTAATAACTCTTACACTAGACAATGCACAGATATAGAGAGGGGCTATTTCCCATCTTTCAACTGTCAGTCATGGTCTTGACTTTACTGATTTATGACTTTGATGTCTAGATCCAATTGTGGTGTGTAGTTATTACCTGATCTGCTCATTCAGAGTCATCCAGAGATATGTTGCGTAAAAGGGCAGCCATTTACAATACTGTTCTAAAGTTTAGGGTCAGTAATATTTGTTTAATGGAACCAAGCTCGCCAAGGCTGTGCTTATTCGACCAAAAAAAATAGTGAAAACAGAAAAATTGTGAATGTGAAATAATATAATTTAAAATAATGGCTTTCTATTTTAATCTATGTAATTTATTTATGTAATGCAAAGCTGAATTTCAGATGAAATTCACATAATTGTTTTTACTGTCACTTTTGAACAATTTAATGCATCCAAATAAAATTATGAAAGTATGAAACCAAAATTTTACTGACCTCAAAATTTTGAACGGTCTTGTATACAGTTCTTTGGGAAAAAAATGTAAAGGGATGATATAACATGGAATCTGCTTTTATAACTAGTCTGTCACTGGTTTCAGTTTTACTAGAAGAGAAAACATTTGCTCTGAGCTTGTTATATTGATTCATGGATTCTTATCCTACATCACTTCCTGCTTAGTTGTTCTATCCATTATAAGGCATTGTGTAGCTCTGTTACCAATTTGAATGGAAGGTAACTGGATTAAAATCAAATACATTACTGCATTTTTGAATGATGTAATATAACCAAAATAAAATGGCTAAACTTAAACTACATTTAAAATGAAAATAAATAAAAGTTAGTATATAAATGATACTAAAATAATGTTTGCCACACTTTGCCAATGCTGAGTGAATTGACAAAGCTTACCAGCCATAATTATGTCTTTTGCTAAATATTTTTATTTTTACACATAACAGGTCATTGTGCCACTTGCAACATCACATACAAGATGAGTCATTCTCTAGCTACCTTTTAAACTCCCTCTGTCATAAAAATGTGAAGGCACATTGTGAATTTGCTCCTAATATTTTCATTTTTGGTTGCTTAATGCAAGGAATATGTAATGTGTTGGCATTTAGAGAAAAATAAAAATGTAATTATAGCTGTGAGTGTTTTCAAAATTCTAAATGAGAATGAATGTTCAATATAATTAACAGATATTTTACTTTTTTCCTTCTCTCTTTCTGTCATTTTAGGGCACCAATGCCTCTGCTCTGGAGAAAGACATTGGTCCAGAGCAGTTTCCCATTAATGAACACTACTTTGGATTGGTCAACGTAAGTATCATACCAGTGCCATACTAACCCTAAAACAAACACATGGCTTCACATGTGAGCCATTGTTGTGAAAACCTGGTTAGGAAGCAAAAAATATACATATGGTAACTTTTTGCATATTTGTTAAGAGTGAACAGCCTTTCTCATGTGTGTGCGTTTATCATGCCATGTTGTGTTGCTTGATATTACTTGTTAATTTGGGGGACACAACAACATTGAGGCAAAACAACCGGCTTAAGTGTTAAACTGTTGAAAAAGCACAGTTCACAACCTTTGCAATCCTCTTTTTTGTTATTTTTAAGAGAAGGGAGCAGTTTGTTTGTACTCTTCTGCAAAATACATTAGCATGTGATTTTCACTGCAGAGCAGGGCAGCTTGACAACGTAGTATTTATTCCTTCTGCCATTAGCGCAGCTGGTATGATTAATGAACATAACTGTCCGGCCTTGAAGCTGAATCTTTCAGGTCATGCTGCCTCTTGTTTTGGCAGAACAGTAAATTTAGTAAGGAGATCCACAGAAATCAGGTCACAGTTATTATTTTTCTTGCCATTAATTTATTGGGATTAGAAGGAGATCCACAAAAAAATAGGTCACAGTTATTATTATTGTTCCTTTTTTTTAGATTAGAAGGAAAGTTGTCACCCTGATCTAATGAGAATTGCCAAAGAAAGGAACTGCTTTAATTTCACTTAAAGTGTTTAATGCTGTATCCATGTTCAAATTTCTAAGTCAACACCATTGCTGAATATTTTAAAACTCCTTCAAATGGCATGCAGTGGTCAAAAAAAAAACAAATCGCTCATGTTTCTGACGTGCTGGCTTTAGCTTATCATTAACTGTGACCACTCTGAAGCGGTGAAGTCTCAAGAGAAGCCAGGTTATCCCAGTTTATTTTTCTGTTGATATGAAAAATTGGGTAGATTTAGCAATATAGCTGATGTATAATGAACTACATGCCTTTCTCCACTGACAGATAATTTTTTTAGTTATGTGTCCGGCTGAGTGGATCTCTGAGTTGGTGTGAGTGAGTGGAAGTGGGGCTAATTTGCATATTTCTGGATCCGCGTATACTAAATGAAGCTATTTCAAGGCATGATTAAATTTTTTTCACAGGAAAAACTTTTAAATATGTCACTATTTAGAAAGACTGGGACTTATCGAACAGCTCCTCACCTAGTACCTACCAAGGGCAACGCAAATTAGCGTCTGGTTTAAGACATGCTTTTTTTGTTAGTATGGTGTAAAAAAATATTAAATTGACCAGCGCAAACCTTGGTAAATCACCTTGCATGATTCATGTAAATACTCCCCTCCCATACATTTTTCGTCTGAAATGTAAACTCCTACAAATGCATATGCAATAAGATCAGCTGCAAAATTGTTTCACAGCGCGTCTTTAGTTAATCCTGACAGATTTAACGCCAAAAGAGAGTTTGCACTGACACAAGCAAAGAAAAGTAGTTGCATTGTAAAATATTAATCTGCCACTAAAAAGGTGTCAAGTTAAACACATTTTTGAGGTTTAGCTCATTTCCAAATAATTACTAAATTTTGATTGGTGTGAAAACGTTTTTTGTTTATTATTGTGTTCTCATGATCATTCATTGCTGTCACTTCCGAGCACTCATGACATGATTCTGACCCTCTTCTTCCTATTATTTTCTGTCATAACTCTGCTTTCACTGTCAATAAAAGTGCCAAAAAGCCCCTAAAACCACATCATTGTCAGTGTGCGCGGAAGGAAAAAGCCCTATGGTTGGGAAACAATGCTCTGTTGTCACAGTAACAGCAAGTGCTGCTCTGTCAGCCCATGCAGGTCATGTTTTTAAAAGCATTTGGTTCCACCATTCATTTTTTCAGCTCTTTGATTTGCTTTTAGCGGTGAGCAGGGAGTCTTTCTTGATTGTAATTGTCTCATCTAGATCCACATTTGTTTAACCCATGCATTCTTCTTCCCTGGTGCACCTCCAGCAGAGACTGTTCCTGATTTTATCTCTCAGTTTCACAGATCAGATTTAATTGCGTCCAAAGTGTTCTTTGTTTGTTTCCCGCTCAAGAATTGATTGGCTCAACCTAAATGTATTCCTCTCTCTGTGTCTTTTTCTCTAGTTTGGGAACACGTGTTACTGTAACTCAGTGTTGCAGGCTCTGTATTTCTGCCGGCCGTTCAGGGAGAATGTGTTGGCGTATAAAGTCCAGCAGAAGAAAAAGGAGAACCTTCTCACCTGTCTGGCCGACCTCTTTCACAGCATCGCCACGCAGAAGAAGAAAGTGGGCGTGATCCCCCCCAAGAAGTTCATCTCACGTCTGCGGAAGGAGAACGGTGAGGGGTCGAGGTTTGAGGAAGACGAAAGCATTATAAAGACAAAAGCATCTTTCTCCATTGACATTCATTTAAAAGTAGATGTGAAATCGCAACATATAATATTATATTATTTTTACACACACATGTGCAGTCACTAGTGAATGATTTACTTTTTTCCAATATTTTGTGTTTTCCATTTTAATTTTTCTGGATTCTGTCTATATATGAAATGTCCACGTTTTCTGCGTCTTGCAAATCATAGGCCCCTAATTCTTTAAATTATAAATCGTAATGCATTTACTGCTAAGGTGATTGACTCAAAACCTATTTCTGCAACTGAGTGCTCAATGCTCATAAACAAATAGTCAAATTTTGAAATCACACACTTGCTTTGAGCAGCTTCCATTGAGATGAATGGTAATGGATTGCTCTTTCCAGGTATAGACCGCCTTAAAAAGAATCAAGAAGCTTCAGCTGCAACCAAAACAGCTTTCCTAAATGAATAGCACAACATCTTCATCATTTGAACTGTGATCTATGTGAACTTAATCAGAATAGATGCCATATTTGGCTCTATCCATCTAATTTTGCATCCCTGGAAATTCGTGAAACAACATATTTCCAGTGTTGACTGAATGATCGACACATTCACAAAAGAAAGACATATTGAACAGAATGTACTGTCCCTGTTGTCTTTCACATCAAGATAAATATGGTGTCTACTGTCTACTATGACTAAGCCATCTGTTGTCAAGCCAGAATCCCACATAACTGCTAAAATATCCTCATATACACTTTGGTATTGTTAATATTTGCAGAAAAACATGTTTATGAGAAATTTTAGATCTGCTTGTGTATCCATTATAAAGTTTCTGATGGTTACCATGATTTTTAGCAACTAATAGAGCTGTTGCTGGCGTTCAGTGAGGGGACTATGTGAAAAATCAAATCTGTGGACTGACAGTAAGCCTCTGTGTGATATGCTGAATGAGAGGCAGGTGTAACAGATCAGGTGTGTGTGTGTTTTGAGGGAGAGGGGAGGGAGGGATAATATGTAGAATAAAAGAGGATTTGTTCTTCTGTCTCATTCCAGAAAAGGCCCTCTCTATGAATTAACAATACAGACCTCTATCAGAGAGACGTCACTTCACCAGCTACACACACTCACAGATAGTTAGGTATATGATTGCACATGCTATGGCATGTACTGACATTGTGCTCAAATGTGTGACCATAGAGTTCCTCTCAGTTCATGTGATCACACCATGTCCAAAATGCGACCTTCACCTTTCTGTTTCAAGAGTCAATCATCTTTTTACAGTTTTTTTTAACTGGAACAGGCAATTGTTGTCAGATGGTATCTGGTTCTGATTTGAAATATGCTATTGAAACATAATCTTGTAAACAAACTTTTGGAGATTTAAACGATATATTTTTTTTCCCATTTAAGTAGATTGATCTACTTGAGAAGTTGCAAGGAAACAAATGTAGTGACCAGTATTTTCTTACGAACTGTGATGTAGCAGATGATGGAAAAAGGGGGGAAAAAAGTAGGCCACTGATTTGGTTCTATCCATGGAATGTGGATTGGATGGAGGCAGATCTGAATGTGACCTTGCAGTCCATTGTAAGAAAGGGTTGGGTTTAAGAGGACAAAATAATTGGAGAAGACATACATCACTAGAGAGGTGGTTGATTCTCTGTGGTGGACGTGCATTCCCTGGAAGATCTAGTTATGAAATTTTAATTAACTTTCAACCTTTTTTTGGTTTTTATGAAATGTATGCATATATTAATTTTTCACAGTAATATCAAAAACATGCATTGGAAAGTCGATTTTTTTTTCTTTCTTTACATAGAAAATAGTCCCCTGGGGATGCCACCAAAATATCCACGAAGTAAACTGATATGGATTGATATCTTATGTTACATTTTCTGGCTTTTCCTATAGACCTGTTTGATAACTACATGCAGCAGGATGCCCACGAGTTCCTGAACTACCTGCTAAACACTGTGGCTGACATCTTGCAAGAGGAGAAGAAACAGGAGAAACAGAATGGACGGCTGAAGAACAACGGCATCGCCACGGACACCGAGCCAGAACAGAACAAGACCGAGCCCACCTGGGTTCACGATATCTTCCAGGGCACGCTGACCAATGAGACGCGCTGTCTCAACTGTGAGACGGTATGAGTACTATGTTACCTGAAGTGTTTGCTTCATACACAGATGCAAATGTTGTTGAAGTGCAGTTCTGCAAAAAAGTTTACATAACCCTGGCAGAATCTCCAACGTTTAGAAATATATATATATATAAATTAAAAATAATAATAAGAGGGATCTCATAAATATGTATTAGTTTATATTTTATTGTTTTATTTAATACAGCTGATGGAGCTATTTTACAGATGTTTCTATGTATTCCACAAGAAATAAATATTGTACCATATTAATTAATGCAAAACATCACCGAAGGCTGTAAGCAATATAAATAATATTTTTCTAGATAATTTGTTTATAATTAAGTTTTGTGAAATGTATACTAATATCTGATATGCAGCTTCTTCAGGCAATACCACTGTACATAAATGCACTTCATATAAAATATGCTAAAATGATTTAAAAATGCAAAACATTTCAATTCTAAAAGGGATATGCAAATGTATGAGCAAAGCTATATTTTGTTTTTCAAAAAACATCAGATTACTCTTCTTTTTTGACAGCCTTAGAAGAACTGTTTGGTTATTTTGCAAAATCATTGTGAGTGGTCTTATACAACGACATTCGGTCTGAGGAAAGAAACTGTTCTCTGTTGGTTAACCTACTTTTTCTTCTCATTAACACTGCCACTCGACTCGGCAGTGCTATCACGCCATCACATGCCAGTGCTTTAAAATACCCTCGCTCACATCTTCTGCAATAAGTGCAAGACAACAGGAGACAATCGGGTCAGCAGAGTTCAGCCTATTCACCTTAAAGGAGAACTCCTAATCTTTTGTACATTTGAAGTGCTGTCAGTACAGACAAAAAAGACACAAATTGGTGTTGCCTACGCGCGTCCGTGTTATCGTCTTTTTTTTTTTAATCCGCACCCTGTTGACTTCAATGGGGCATGTTCTAGACCTGCTTTTAGCCTCTTAACATCCTTGATTTGTCATTACGAGTGCACAGCCATGTGAGTTGTGTTTTTAAGAGTGACCACGGTTAATCTGACTGCAGTAGATGTGAAAGATATGAATAAAAATGATGTTAATTTAGCCAGCTCACACACCTCAATTGCTTCCTGTTTTCCATAGATGTGTTTTCTCTTGTTCCTCAATATGTAGCTGACTTGTGGCTTGCATTTCTACAGGTCAGTAGCAAGGATGAAGACTTTTTGGATTTGTCTGTAGATGTTGAGCAGAACACTTCAATAACACACTGTCTCAGGTAAGCATACACGCACAATGACATAACAGTAATCACACATGCTGATGGACACAACCAGTTCTTTCCCACTGTTCATGCTTTTTAGTAGATGTGTGTTTTGTTTACAGGGACTTCAGTAATACAGAGACCCTGTGCAGTGAGTATAAATACTACTGTGAGATGTGCTGTAGCAAACAAGAGGCACAGAAACGGTGAGCGTCAGCGTTGTGTTGATATGATGTGGCAGGGCGTATAACTATTGTTCAGAATGACGTACTACTATACTTTACATGTGGAGGGATTCACTACTCATGCTAATGGTGTAAATTTGAGTGTTAACATTGCAGCATATCTCCTGATTTGCTAATGAAATAATGTGAATCAACCGTATTGCAAATTACGTTGCAGATTTTCCCCAAAATCTGTCTAGTTTACCAAAGGACTCAGTAAGCTTAAATACAGAAAAAATTAGTGAATAATTTAGTTACTCCATAGTATTTTAGCAGTATGTTTACTGTGCACATGATTATTAGATATGATTTTAACATTATTTGATCAGACTGTCACAAGTGTAGACATTTTTTGACAAAAAAAGGATAATTTATTTTCGTGATCTGAAAATTATATGTGCAAAATTGTGATGTGTTTTTGGTTTGTTTTGTGATTGGGTTTGTATGTGTTGCAGTATGCGTGTGAAGAAGCTGCCCATGATCTTGGCTCTTCATCTGAAGCGCTTTAAGTACATGGAGCAGCTGCATCGGTACACTAAACTGAGCTATCGTGTGGTCTTTCCACTGGAGCTCCGCCTCTTCAACACCTCTGTAGACGCTGTCAACCTCGACCGCATGTATGACCTTGTCGCTGTGGTGGTCCACTGTGGCAGGTACGAGAACTGTCAAACATGCACATCTGCAACATATGAAACAGACTCTCTTAACACAGTCATATTTGATAAATAATGACATTATAAGCAGATGTAGTCTCATTGTTCGAATATTTGCATATTTATTGTAGTCTGAAAGTACACTATAATCATAATGATTTTTCATCAAGAATTATGATAAGTTAAATGTAAATATATATATATATATATATGAATTTAGACTTGAATTTTGTGTTTTATGTCTAAAATATTGAAAAAATATTCAATTTCTAAATATTTAAAATATGATTTGATTTTCTTGAAAAATGTAAACACTGCCTCTGTAACTCTTTGTATTAGTGGCCCAAACAGAGGGCATTACATCAGCATCGTGAAGAGCCACGGCTTCTGGCTGCTATTTGATGATGACATTGTGGAGGTATGCACTTTCTTTTTATATACAGTATACATAGATATGCACAGGAATTTTGAGGGGCAGTTGAATAAATTACATTTACATTAAAATAGAAATTCTATTATTGAATTATGAAAAAGTATGTTTTTACTGTATGTTTAATCAAATAAATAGAGCCTTAGTGAACATAATGGCGCTTTTGCACTGCATGGTACGGTACAGCATGGTTTGGTGCGGTTCACTTGTGCGGCTTTTCCACTGCATGGTATGGTACAGTACGGTACGGCTCACTTTAAATGGTACCACCTCTTGAGGTTCCAAGTGTACCGTACCGATACTAAAATTTGACGTGAACACACTGCAGACTACTGATTGGTCAGTCAGACAGAATCGTCACTACCAGTGTCATTGTATTTGCAAAAACCTAAATTTACCTAACCCATGCAAACAAAATATAAACCCAAATGCATGCAGAATATAACTTTCCTCTTTCCTGCTCTCTCTCACCATATTGTTCTCTATTCAAATCCACAGAAAATTGATGCACAGGCGATAGAGGAGTTTTACGGTTTGACCTCTGACATTTCCAAGAACTCTGAGTCGGGATACATCCTGTTCTATCAGTCCAGAGAATGAAAGAGCAGAGGGGGGACACGAGAAGAAATCAAAAGGAAGGGTATACATGAAGATGACGTCCACTACCGGTACTTTTCCACATCCTTCTCCTTTTCCTCATCTCATACTCAGGGTCTCCAGCTGAGACTGAGTGCCAAAAGCCCTCTGTAGTCCCATTTGCCAATATGACATTTCCCAGAAGTCCCTTTCTCCCAAACTCGCTGCACACTGGGGGAATAAAACACATCTTCAAATCTGACCCTGCAAGTCAGTCACCTGCATCTGGAAGGCACTTTATTAACAAAAACAACAATAAGTAACACAAAAGCAACACAATGAAAAAATCACAACATATACTACAATACTTGTAAAAACTTGAAGGAATCAAAAAGCTACAAACTGAGCAATGAGTCCTGGTACTCTGTGGATTTCACCATATTGTGGGATTATGATTCTGAGCAGTCTGTTACATGAGTGCGTGTGTGTGTGCGTGTGCGTGTGTACATTTAGACGGTAAATACAGAAAGGCTGCTCTGAAGTGACTTTGCTGTTCATCCATAAATAGTTGCAGTCTTGTTACCAAGAGAGTTTTCAAAAGTTGTCCTGTTGACATCTCTTCCAGTAACAAAAAAAAGGGCAGAATTGCAAGGCTGAAATGCTGCTTTTGTCTCCCTTGCATTCTTATCGAACACTGTTGTTACCTAACTTCCGTTGTAGGTAATGGCCTTACATAGATTTAATTCCTGGTTTAGATTCTTCAGTTTGGTTGAATCCATGATTTGACTCCATCTTTTTTTCTCCTAAATAGATGTTGCAACTTGGTCCCTGGTCATTTATTAGAAGTTGGATGACGTGGCATTTTATTTTATCATTACTTTGAGGTGATAATACATGAAAGTCTGGGCTACAGAGATGAAATGCAACAGAAGCAGCCTTGAAATTATTTCATTGCGATCTGTTAAGTTCAGCTTTAGCTCTTATCGAAGCATCTGATATGACATGACGTCGCTGTTACGATAAGACAATGCGCACAATTATTTCAACTTTGTGGTGAGTGGCATTTTGTTTGAGAGGGCTTTTACTATTTAATATACGTATAAGAGCATATGTCTTTGAATAAATGGGAAACGTTATCGAAGACAGTAGGGAAATGTACTGATAATCCTTAATTTTGTATACAGTATAAATGGGAGAGAGTGACTCGGGAAAAAGTCACCAAAGGGAAACAAGGTGCAATACAAGGACAAGGTGAACATTCCACGCTCGTTTTACACCGACATTTCTACTTTAAAAAACTAAGCTCACAGAAACACTAACAACAAATCGGTACTCCCGTTTCTTCAGTGTATAGCTTTTTAATGTTTTTGTTTTATTTAGAATAATGTTTTATTGCCATTTACTGTTTTATTCTCTCAAAAATACTACAAGATGGTTCTCTGAGCAAAAGCAGTCCACAACTAAAATACAAGATTTGCCTTTTTCAGTCCGTTCAAAGTTCATTCAGTGTAAAAGTAGAATAAGTGATTAGGAAAAAAAGGTTATCTAGATTGATCCATTGCTTCACGTGTTCTAGAGCCCATTCTAAGTCTGTGGTACTTGTATTTTCACACTCCTCAAAGATCATTTTTATATGTAATTATATGTTGATTCCACACTACATTCAATATAGTTGAATGAACACTGTAAAAACCCAATGTGAGGTTGACTATGCAGTGTTTGTGCTTGCCCTGTTGTTTCCCGAGGCTCGACAGATGCTGAGTGATCATTTGGGCGGTTGATTTTTCATACGAGTTCCCCAGTGACACTAGCAGAATGCTGTTTCTCAAAAAGAGGAGCATATGTGGTTGTTTGAAGATGATTTAGTGGTACTAAGACCATGTTTCTTGTCCCATTGCCTGTTCTTTTTGTTCGTTAGGGATCAAAATGAACAGAAATGTGCCAAAATTGTGGCAAGAAACTCTCACAGTCCTTCAAACTGAAAAACGAAAGAGATATCTCTGTGTCATGATACTGTACATAACTATTATATAGACATATTGGATAAAAATAAATTATATTTTTAAAACACTAAATTATTCTATTAAAAATGACCTATTATTCGCATGGGGGAGTCATGGTTGCAAATGAAGAAATTGCGAGCTGATTACTGTTTGTTGGAGATTTTATGATTTCAGTCAGGTCCCTTATGGAGACCTGGATCATTTTTAAGTTTGTTCTGTAGAGTAGACTAAACTAAGTACTGTAACTTCTTACTACTGTGGATTGAATCCCCACACACACATACATGAACATCTGGATACGTTGAGAACCTATTAGACTGACACTTTTCACAGTTACACACCTTGTATGCAAAAACAAACTTCTCTGTTTTGTCCTCTTTTAATGTGTGTATTTTTTAGGTCTGCAAAAGAAATGTACAATGTTTGTTTGTGTGTCTGAGAGAGAAATACCAGGACTTAAACTTTAATGGAAAGTGTGATAACTGTAAGTGCACTTTATCATAGCAGAACCAAAAAGGTTTCTCATAGGAACTGGAATCCTGACTGAGATTCTTTTGGTTTATTTTCCTTTCCTCAATAAATGAAACACAACTTTACCAGCTGTGGCTCATCAGTGATTTTTTTTAATTGTTAGGGTTTTATCACGGTGTTCATTTTAATGATTATTCTACTTTTTGTGGCTGACAAACATTTTTATTTTCCTCTTCTGTGACAAAAAGTATAGGACATGGCAATTTTGTACAAAGACACCAAAGGCTTTGGGCAGAAAACAGCAGGACGAGGGAGTGAAAAGTGAATAATAGATTCACCAAGTGATCGAAATCAAGTGATGAGAAGTCTTGTTTACAGAAAGTCCTTTATGTGCCTAAAATGCTGATGCATCAACAGCAACAAACTGTGTGTGTGCACATGGGGCATGTGTGACGTCTTTGCACACATTAAATGAAAGAACACCTGCGACAGAGTGAGTCAGGGACAGTAAGGTTTCTCTAGAATGTCAATGTATTTTGTTTTTATATGTGTGTGTGTGTGTGTGTGTGTGGATAGTTCACTTTGAAATTAATTTTTGATATGTTTTAGCTTACCTCAAGTGCATCAAAGATGTAGGTGTCTTTGTTTCCACAGTATTTTCTCAATTTTGTTATTTTTAGGTCAAACCGTTCTTGTCTGTCAGTCATATAATGGAGGTATATGGGGTCCACCTCAAAGAGCAAGCACAGAGAAGTCCAAATTAAACATGATTTAACACTAGAAGTGCCAGAATTCCAAAACTACTAGAACGGCCACGAACGGTCATTTTGACCGTTAGATTCAAAACAGTGTTTATTTCATTGACGAATAATTTTCATAATTTTATTTTCGTCAACCACATTTTTTCAAAGACGAAAACGAGACGATAACTAAATAAAAACTAGGTTTGAATGACAAAAACTATGACGAAAATGTTGACGATATGCGAAGCGGTCAATAGGCTACTAGGCTAATAATAATAGGACTAGCAGAACTAGTGAACCGCCCATGCAGCAACAGCGCAGGACAGGGCAGCAGAGCTCACCAGGATCATCCGACATGAATGGATCATCTGGATCCGCCGTGTCTGATGATAGCAGCCGTCTCTTTTTCCTTGATGTGGACTCTGACTCTGAATCACTCTCTAATGATATATAGCCTATAGATAACGTAAGTATTATAGATAACTGTAGTCTGGTTTTATTTGCTTATTTCTGATCAACAACTAGCCTAATGTAGAAATTATTATATAGCAAACACCGCTACAGAGGTGACCGGACGGACCTTTCTGTTGACAGTTGAGAGAGAACACGATCAACCGCGGAATATTTAACAAAAAAATATCGCGAAATTCAGTGCGGTCAATATGACCGTCTATGGCCGAAATAGGTAAATATGTTCATTTTTTTTTGTTTTGCCTTACGTTTACGTAACTTAATTTATATGAAAAGCATTTTAAATGAAAATACAGACAATTTTAGGAAAAGTCAGGTACCAACAGGATTTTATTATTTTTTTCAACAAAGTTATTGTAGATATAAAATTCAAAACGGTCAAAATGACCGTTGTGGCCGTTCTAGTGTTAATTACTCGTGAATGTAAGTACACACTGATGGCCTAAGACACGAAATGAGCGGTTTGTGTGAGAAAACTAACAGTATTTATATCGTTTTTACCTCTTGTGACCACAGCCACGTCCAACTGATCTGAGGGCACAGATGCTTCGGTCTATTCAAGCGCCGGAAGTGATCTCTTGCACGGTTGGGGAAAAAAAATCTTCTAAAATCTCTATGAAAACAATGAGTGAGGTACACGCGCGAGAGATCACTTCCAGGATTTTCCGACGCAGACAGAAGCGCCCTCGCCCTCAGAGTACTTGGACGTGACTGTGATTACAATAGGTAAAAATGATATAAATACTGTTCGTTTTCTCACACAAACCACTTGTTTCATGTCTCAGGCATTTAAGAGTCATTAAATCATGTTCAATTTTGACTTCTCTGTGCATGCTCTTTGAGGTGGAGCCCATAAACCTCCATTTTATATATATATATATAATCAAAATTGAAAATACTGCGTAAACAAAGACCTTTACGCAGTCAGGAGTGAAGCCGGATGCCCTTGAGGTAAGCTGAAACATATCAAAAATTAATTTTAAAGTGAACTATCCCTTTAACTGATTTGTGCATCACAGTATGTGCGTCACATTCTGGGTGTGTGTGTGTGAGAGAGAGCTTAACAGATTTGTTTCTTTTATACTTCTGTTTGTTTGAAGTCTGTCTAAGGGGGCACCCTCCTTGACTTTGGTAAGCTGCACTTGGAGCCATGGGATTGAGTGAGTTGTCCCTACCCACCTATTTTGGGTTATTAAGTCGGGTGCCTTGCCCTCCTTTATCTCAGTTATCCAGGTTTTTGAGTAGAGGTATTGCCTACCATATGAAAATTGTTTTACACAGAAGTAGTGGAACTACCGAGATTGATAGTGGAATACAAAAAAAAAAAAAAAAATGTGGGAACTGGAACACGTTTCCAGAAAGTGTGTCAGATGAGAAAAGGCTGTCACAGCCTGGCCATTTTTCCATAGAGCTCTGCATTTGGGATAAAGTCCACTGGGGTAGGAGGAAGGTTCCAGTGAGGCTGGGACTACCCCTGCTAGAGGCATTGAAGTTAAGGGATCTTCTATTTTTGTGGAAGATAATAGGGAATGATACCACTAGACAGTCTGTCTGTATGTATGTGCACACCACAGATGGACACTCTGACTCTGGATAAGTAATCCGTTGAGACAATGTATGCTATGTTAGTGCATATTTTCATCTAGTGAGGCAGGCGTCATCAATCCAAGATGCAGTCTAGAGTTGCCATTCACAAAGGTAACGTCTCAGGTTACGACTGTAACCGTGGTTCCCAGAGAAGGGGTACTAGACACTGCGTCTCATTGTCATGGCATTGGGTCTTACTACACGTCCCCTTCAAACGAAGTTAATGACGTGTGCTACGTGCACCCACTTATACTTCCGGACGCTCCGCTAATAACGTCATGGGCTGTGGCCAACTAATCAGATTGGAGTGTTTTCACACATGCTTCAGATACAAGATACACTGATGGCACCCCATACATCCAAGACACAGTGTCTAGTTTCCCTTATCAGCGAACTACGGTTACAGTCGTAACCTGAGACGTTTTGTTCATCATCACTCACTGTTAAAGCAAATCCTTCAGTAATAGATATGGCAAGTGTTTGAAGATGTGTTGTGTCTTGACTGACATCAGTTTGGACTATATAGTTAACATAATACAAATATAATTTTTTAATTTTAAGTGATCACAAAGCAGGTTTGCCGCTATAGTGTGATTGTTATGAATGTAACTTTGTATTAATTGTATTTCTGAATACTAATAAATACTTCCAGTTAAATAATAAATGTAATTTCCGCTAACATGCCTAAGATATTTAAGTTCAAATCTCGAAACATTTTCTGAAAAAAGTAAAAATTGTTGAAATTATCCCAGCTTGTTCCTACATCTTTGTTTGTGTCTTGTTCTTGTTCTTTACTTTGTGCTCATTCATGACTTTGTTCCATCCACACACAGATGATCTTGCTTTGTTCATGTCTCTTTAAGAAACTAATACAAATGCAAATAGTCTTCCTGTTGGCAGAGGAAATGTCTGTTCATTGATTAGCACTGAGCTGATGATACCCCTCAGACCTTATCCGGCTAATTAAGAAAAACATTTTTGAGAAGTAAAGCTGAAATAAGGAGGTTTCTCAGAAAATAAACATAATTCCTTCCCAGCAAGAAGTCGAATTGGCCTGGAAAGTGAGTTTTTGCATGATCTGACGGTCTCTGATGTCTCTCCAGTTGCGTGTGATTCATTGAGTAACATGACTCATGTTACATTTTGCTAGTAATCGCATTGCTGCAATCAAACTCATAATTTCAGTGATCTTTATTTGAAATTTAGACCAATCAAAGCAACAACAGAATATTTTTAGAAGAATGCATCCTTAAAGGGGTGGTTCATTATTTTGGACATCTGGCCTCATTTCCAAGTTAGCCTTAGTGTTGGAGACAGATTACAAAAATTTTCTTCCAGTCTTGGTTTTGCTCACTCCACAGTACACCAAAAGCAAATAAATTATAAGTAGGTATAACATTATATGACGAATTAACATGCACATCAAAAAAGTGGCATCCCATAATTGGAGTTTTTCTTTCTAAAAAATGTCCTTTCAAGATTACCATAGGTGTTTACTGATAGATAAAGTGAAGTCAGGTGAATGAATGAATGAATAAAAGCTGGCTCATTGTTTCCATCCTCTGGATGAATGAAACAAAGCAGAATGATTCAGTCTCAAGGCTGAGAGCCACAAGAGATGCGTCAGACTGAGAGCTGTGATGGTGCAGAGGGAGAAAGAGACAAAGAGAGAGAACGTTTGATTAGAAAAAAAGGTCTGGTTTCCTGTGTACGGATGGAGGAATATTGTATGCCAGTGCAACTGTGCACTTTTGAAGCAATTACATTTTAACCAGCATATTTAAAATCAGATACTATCATTCAATCTCTTCTACTCAAGGTGGAAGTGCCATATTTGCAGCATCAAGTCAAATCATCAAACACATGCATTAGAACAAAGATCAGAGGGCTGTTATGTGTGTCTTCTCCACCACTGTTAACTGTAATTTCATGGTAGCACTGCACGGATAAGCAATCAGTGTTCTGACCTGAACCATGACATGTAGGAAGCGCTGAACCTTCCAGTAATGCTTTTTTGGCATTTGTTGTCCTAGTTCCCAGAAGTGCACAAAAAAACAAAAAAAACAAAGGAATTGGCACTAAAACATTACGAAGTGCATTTTTGTGAGGGCTCTGAAGTCCAGAGAGCAGCTCTGCCTATTAACAGAGTCCTGAATCAGAATTGTAAAAAGCTTTTGTTTCCTTCTTCTTCCATCTTATGTATGTGTGCTAAACCTTTTTGTAAACCAACGTTCACAGTGTTATATAACTTACATATTGATGTGTTTTTACGCAGTTTTATTATTTTTCTCTGCAGCAATCCTCTGTTCTTTTAGTGAATTTTG